GCACTTGGCTACTTTGCTGCTTTTTATATAAATGGCAGCTCATTAAATTGCCGGCACCGTTTTCACCAGCCGAGGGGTCAAAAGCGCAAATTGGCCAGGTGTGTTTGGGTGTCCGGACATGCGTGCTGGGGGGAGGGAAGTCAGGGGGATGGGGATTCACCTTCACCCCATCCTCAGCTGCGTACTTAAAGTATATCAGGCGCTAGGACTCTAATTTGCACACAACACTAGTTGCCGGCAACTTCTCACCTCGTTTGAGCTGCTGGCCACGTAATGAGCTGCAACTTTCGCACTTGCACGTGCCTGGTCCGCCCAAAACTATGTCAATGTCCGGGCACCGAATTGTCACCAGTCGAGGCTCATAAGTAAAGCCGAAAAGTGTGTTAAAGTTTCTGGACACTCCACTTAACGCTCGATTGCTTAGCCCCGAGCACTTTCGTCCTTTCACTGGGTCTCGAGTGCAGCCATGCCGGCAGAAACTGTAAGATGGGATGGCACAAATTGCACTTCATTTGATTTAAATTGATACGATGTCAGCTTGCATTTCATTTGCAAAATGGAAGGACCAGAAAGTGGATTGAGGCAGACCCAGTTATAAGTTATAATGGCCCGACCACAAACTCCCACTTGACGTCGACCGAAAGACCTGCTCAAGTGCTCGGCCGGCAGTTGAAAGCAAAATTTTGTCAACTCAATGGAGATTGAAAAGTCACTTTGTGCCGAGTAGTTCCATGTGTGTGGCGTACTTGAGATTACCAAATTACAGTTGCACAACATTTGAGGCATACTCTTAGGCGCACTTAGGGCCAGAAGCCACTTTGGGGTTATCGATAACTATCTATGGCTGGAAAACTTTTCCACTGCCGCCCATTTGGCGGGCACTTTGGCCGAGCGCCTAAAAGGCGGCTGCAGTTTTTGTCTATTACTTTCAGTGCATCAAACTGTCATTCTGTTTGTTTGCCAGGCGCGCAGGGAGAATTCCTGCGCCGTGGGCGGCTGTGCTCCAGTAAACTTTGCCGAGTCGACAAAAGCAAAAACGCTGGCTAAGTAACACATGATTGGAGATTGCCGTGGTTCGACGGAAAAGCCTGCAAACTTGTGCGAAAGTTTAGCAGGGAGCAATCGGGCTTAGTTTCTAATTCAATTTGTCAAGCAGCTTTGGCCCGGTTGCCCTCCACGAAAGTCCTTGCCAAACTGTCCACAATAATCCAAAATTGACTAACCGAATAGAAATCACACACAACAGCAAAGGCAATGAAGCGTTTATCCCATGTTATTCAATTGAACATTTGCGAAAAATTAAACACAGTCTGCAGTCCGGTGCACAAACAAATGCAAAATGCGCCCTTGTCTGCAACCCCAAGCCCCTCACTCCCCCGCCAACCCACCGTGGGTAGAGTCAACAACAATTGCAATTGCATGTCCCCCGAACCCGGGACAAAAGAGCACGGACAGAAACCCCTACAAAACACAGTCCATTGCACACACATCGACAATGACAAGTACATGGGCATAATAAAGTCTTGGAATTTATTTTTATGTGCATATAATAGAGGATGCGTCCTTACCCTCACCCTCACCCCCGCACCCCTAACCCATGCGTGGAGGTCCACGTTCCCCCAGAGACGCATTTCATCTGGCAAAGCGGAACATTTTATGGGCCCAGAAAAAACACTCTGCAACGGACGAGGAAACTGAAGCAG